TAGAAAAGGGGGGGGGGAGGAGGGGAAGGGAGTGGGAATTACGGGTTGTATCCGTTCCAGTCTCTGCCTGATACACTCTCTCACTAGGATTCAGCGATGCAGGCGTCACACCATAGATGTAAAGGTTTAGGAGGACGGTCGGGACGGTTTAAATGACTCAAACCTGTTCTCAGTTCAGCCCGGGTACCTTTCCCTGCTGCTCATCAGGGGAATCGTAAGCTAAAAATGTGTCCCATGAGCAGCCAGCGTGCTTATCAATCCACTTGAATATCTATCTTCTAGACGACGCTGTCCCTGTATATCTCACCCAGGAGCTTATCGGGAGACATGTGGTTTGGAGAGCAGAAGACCACTAGTCCTAAGCTTCTGATTCGGTGACTTAAGAGTTTTGAACCCCAGTTTTTAAGGGTTTCTTCGAATGGACATCAGAGCACTTATTCGGCTTCTGTCGAAATGTCGTTATTATCATGAACTGCATAACAGTGGCTGCAGTTGTTATCCATGCCGGTCATTCCGGTGAAGCCAAGTGAGTTGCTCTTGCAGGTGTCCATCACGACCACAAATGCCTTGTTTCAGAGGAATCTGGGCTGCTTTGGCTACAATAAGTGATCTCATTTTTCATATTTCTTTCTTGTTTGCTGCTATTTCCATGATTCGCTATTTGAGTGTCTTCTACTTTTTTAGTGTTCTCACTTATATGTTGAGACGTATGGTGAGTTTTTTGCCTAGAGGTTTGCCAAAATATTAGTCAGAAATCGCAAATAAAATTTATTTTGACCTGAGGAATAATTTAAGGAACCACATTAGCGACCTTTAAATCAGAATTTGAAATGTGGCATGCGAAAAATCGGACTTTAGTGAATGATCACTCTGCAGGGAGTGAGTCTTGAATCCGAATCTAATTGAGGATGCTTTCAGTTCAGTCGAAAGGAAGCTCTATAGTTAGAAAACAGCACCCAAATCTGACGTACATTGTGTAGGTAGGCCCGAGGTAGTTGAGGTAGCTCCGCCTTCAACCGTCAGACCCGCCTCTGACCATTCTTCATGAAATGCTCGAATGTGAAGAGCAAAACGTATAACATGATGTTTTTTTAGTTTACTCTGCTCACGAGTCTGTTTCAAATTTCAAAAAAAANNAAAAAAAAATCCGTAAAAAATCGTGAAAATAAAAAAGTAAGTATAATTTGTTGTAGATCAGAACTCTTGGTAAATTTCTACTCATTTTTGTCATATTCTGGGTAATATTTGCGGTGTGCCACATCAGCATGGCAGGTAAGGGTTCCAGTAGTTTTAGTTGTTTGAATTTTATCTACTGAGAGATTTTTTTACTCAAGAAGAGTACGCTGTGAGATCGAATCACTCCTTGGCATGGATGATGTTCCAGAATGGAGCTTTTGAAATATTTGGTGAAGTGGACGATGAAGATAAAGTGGGTATGTCTTTTGCTGCATTCGAGAAACTAGTAGAAAAGGGTGATATGGAAAAAAATATCTGGAAAACCAACCAACTCTAGTGAGTTACTGTACAAAATCATTGAAAACCTGCGTGAAGGGCTTGTAATTATACAATTACAATTTCGCTACCGGGCATTCGGTGTGGAAGAATTGGCTTGAAAGAAAAGTAAGTGGCTGCTAGGAACAGTCAGAGGAATATTTGTAGAAGCCTGTATCCCCTGAAATCGGGGTCAACCGTGCAAGGGTAGATGTTTTTCTGGTCTATAATTTCCTGAACAAAAAAAAATGCCAGAAAATCACCTCGTCCTCCGTTTTTCTGATATGGTAGTGAATCAGGTTGCATTGTTATTACTTGATCAGCAAATACTCGTTTTAAAGGAAATTTGGAGGAAACCAACTTCAATGATATTTTGATGCATACGAATATCCGAGTAGGAAAATGCCAAAACATTTTAGGGTCACCTTGAAATTTCAGGAACGGTCACCGGTTGTGCAGACATCTCCTGGCGGTCGATGTGGACTGCGAACACTGCGGATATGCGATGTCTTCTTCGCTCCGCTTTGATTCCCATTACAGTATTTACTTATATGCTTGTTGCTAGTATTATGCTAGTTAATCTACTCACTGCTTTACTTTCGTAAGAAACTTCCGAAACCTATTGATTTTTCTTCCCTTCAAGTGAATATTACCACAACTGCCAATGTTCAGGAAGGAATATGAAGAGGTGTCAGGTGGAGGTTCTGCAGTTTATTGGAAGTATGAGAATTATTTTCTTCTCGCCACGTATGTTTCCTTAATTTTTTTCCTCCATATAGTAATTTTTACAAAAAATTTGAGCGTGACGTATGTCCACTTAGGAAAACTCCAGTTATGCTCAGAAAAGCGATAACACTTTTGAGTTGTCTGCAGAGCTGTGCCATTTGTATCGTTTCATAGAATACGAATTTTCATACTGTTACAATTTCCTTCAAATGAATTTTGAAAATTAGCTGAAAAACCAGAAGCTGCGTTTCTAATAATAATTTTCTTCCTACTGGGCTCGTAAACTTTCAGATATGAATCGAAACTATGGCTTCCACCGCCGCTGTCGTTGATCTATTACATTCTACATATGGCTCCATTTCTGTTTCGAATCCTCTCTTTCTTCCTTTGCATTTTTTGTACATGCTGTTCAAACTTTGTTATCAAGAATAACCCTTTCTCGTTCATTCCCAACTGGCTTGACAGAGTGTTTCGAGCTATAGAAGGTGAGCTACAGCACTGAATCACTTTACTGGTTCAACATTGTCGTTGGCCGTTTGTGGGGTGACACGCTATGGAGAAAATGAACCTTCCCAATTTTCAGGTCGGCCTTGGGGAACTCTGAAACAAATGCGACGGCATGTTCACGATCAATCTGATCTAGAGGAAATTCGCAAATTGGTTCCTGTAAGGAAGTTACCTAAAGCAGTTGGCAAATTGTATTTCTGCCGATAACTCAGAGAACGCCCTGTACTGGCAGTTTTCAGTTTTGAGTATTCGATGATGGATGCAAATTTGTGTTATGACATAGGATACAGTACTCCTGACAATAACATTTCCTTGGGTGTTGCCCCTAAGATGCAGGTAAAGGTAGAAGTTTCGTCATAGTCTATTGCCAGCACCAGAGTTACAGGTGAATAGGGGGTCTCACTGTATGCCTTCAGCATCGAATCCGTGAAGATATGGTACTGCTGGTGAGAGATTTTGTGCAATAGGGATTCATTTTAAGGACCATGTTATATAGTAGAGCTGCCTTAACTATGAGTGCTAAGGGGCCGTGGGATTCCAATCAGGACCATCTTGATTCAGTAGTCCTAGATCCAATACATGTGAAATATTGATTGTCCTACTTTCAGAAGGGGAACACTTCGGAGTTTCGAGTCAGAATAAGGGAACTGGTGAGA